CAGATTCCTCCTCCTCCTCCTCCTCCTCCTCCTCCTCATTTTCCTCCTCATCATCATCCTCATCATCATCATCATCCTCATCGTCATCATCATCCTCATCATCATCAACATCATCAACATCAGTAGCATCATCATCAGCAGCATCATCATCGTCATCATCATCATCATCATCATCATCATCATCATCATCATGAGCATCATCATCGTCATCGTCATCGTCATCGTCATCGTCATCGTCATCATCATCATCATCATCATCATCATCATCATCATCATCATCATCATCATCATCATCATCATCATCATCATCATCATCATCATCATCGTCATCAATATCATGATCATCGTCATCATCATCATCAGCATCAGCATCATCAGCATCAACATGAGCATCATCAACATCATCATCATAATCAGCATCGTCATCGTCATCATCGTCATCGTCGTCGTCATCATCATCATCATCATCATCATCATCATCATCATCACCATCATCATCATCATCATCATCATCATCATCATCATCATCATCATCATCATCATCATCATCATCATCATCATCATCATCGTCATCGTTATCGTCATCGTCATCATCATCACCCCTCTTTCTCCTCCTCCTCCTCCTCCTCCTCCTCGTTGGCATGCCCCGCCGTTGGCGGGGCCCGCCGCCGCGTCGCGCGCACTGCTATGCGAAACCACCAAAGGTTCTAAGAAGATTTGTTGGCAGGCCGATATAGAGATGCCGGGACGCTTCCTCACTGCCTGGAACCTGCGAAAACCTCCGGTCTTGATGGTCATGCAGGACGGACCTCTGAGCCTGCAGGCCCCGCGGCCGAGCAGATGAGGGGGACCGACAGGGGGCGACCAGCTCAGGGAGGGACGTGCCGACCTGGAATCGGCGATGCATCGCCAGTAGGGCGGCGATAGGTCCTGGGTTGCGAAACCGCACGGTCCTCCTCCGTGGGGTCTTCGGGTCATAACCCTCATCTCCCCAGGCCGTTCAGGACGACCTGGGCCCCACCGGACTCGGCCGGGCGCCCCTGCTGGAGGGCACCCCCGAGGCCGGAAGGCCGCCGAGAACCGACGAAAACGCTCGAAGTCTCCAGACATCTCGAACCTCGCCCCCTGACAGGAGAGGCACGAGGGGCAACGAGGGGAAGGGGACAGGCCCAGGAGGGGGCGCCCCCCCCCCCTTCCCTTAGGGTTGCCCCTGAACAGGAGAGGCACGAGGGGCAACGATGGGAGGGGGGGACAGGCCCAAGAGGGGGCCTCGAGCTGGACCGGGCGGCACATCTCCGACACTCATCGGCGCTCTGGGCCCCCGATGGCGAGGCCGCGCGCTCCCGGGCGAGGCGGGCCCAGCATCGGGCCCCTTTTGTCATCGATGAGTGGGCGATTGGGACTCCGTGCGTCCCCCCCTCAGCCTACACGTCGTTCCTTTCTACCTCAGCCTACACGTCGTTCCTTTCTAATCGTGCTCATGTCTAGCTGTGCTCGTTTCTAACATGTTCCTGGCCCCCCAGCGGCCAGGAAGAAGCCCAGGATAGAACAGTCAGAAATGAAAGGCTCTTGGCCCCCAAAGAACTTTCGAAAAATTAAGAGTGAACAACGTGTATCCCCCCCCCCCCCCTCCCAACGGGCCCCCCGAGCAGAGGGGGGCGCCTGCGCTTCGAGGGTCCGCCGCCGCCGCGGCTTGGTGCGCGGCAGCGGGGCAAAGCCCCCCGAGGAGGCCCTGGCCTCCCCGGGGGGCGCTCCGCCTGACGGGGGAGAGGGGCGCGGGCAGGGGGCATCCGCCGCAGGCCGCGCGGCGGTCCTCCTCCTCCTCCTCCTCCTCCTCCTCCTCCTCCTCCTCCTCCTCGTCCTCGTCCTCCTCCCCTTCCTCCTCCTCCTCCTCCTCCTCCTCCTCCTCCTCCTCCTCCTTCTTCTTCTTCTTCTTCTCGTCCTCCTTCTCCTCAGGGGGGCGGGCACGCTCCTGCGACGGCATCCATCAGAGCTGAACCTAAACGGTGTGTTTCGTTTTCGTTTTGTTCTCGTCGTCCCTCGTTCTGTCTTCAGTCCGCCTTTACCGCAACACGAAGTCGGACCGAAAACGGCTCGCCAAAACACCGTTTAGGTGAAGCCCTGGCATCCATCGAGGCCTCCTGGATGGGTCCGTGTGGGCGGGGTCGACGGATCGCGCCAAATCGCCGATGCATTGCCGATGCATCGCCAATGTCCCGCCCGATGCTTCGGAAATGCATCGGCGACGCCGGTGATGCACTGGCGCCGTCAGCGTGGAGAAAATCGGGCTCCACATGGAGCCGCATCGGCGATGTCGAGGCGATGCGGCGCGATCATCTGACCCCATCTGCTCGCCTGGGATCCAGCGAGGGGGTCATCCAGATGTTTCCCTCGACTTTGGAAAGCAACTCAAGGAAGTTGTTGGTCGTCCCCATGGCGTCCAATAGCGCACCAAATCGCGTGCAGAGCGGACAGACTGCATCTTCCTCACCTGGCGCTATTGGGCGCTATTGGCCGCTATTGGGCGCTATGTGAGCGCTATTTATCGCTGTTGAGCGCCGTTGCGCGCTATTGGGCGACGTTCGCCGGTATGCCTGCAGTCCGTGGCGAGCGGAAGCATCCGTGATTTCTTTGCCTGACTCGGCCGTCGGGGGTCGAGGGAGGAGCTCTCCGGGCGCCTCGGGGCCGTGCCAGGCCTCGGGAGACCCGCGCGGAGGCCTCCACGAACATCGGGGGGGGGACCTCCGGGGGGGGGGGGCAGGATCCGCGGGCGGGAGCAAAGCGCACCACAGGGGTCACCCTGCCAGGCCCAGGCTGGCTCCAACCGCAGCACTGCACCCGGCCGGGCCCGCATCGCATCGCCCGCGAAGCGCCCCGCCTCAGACCGAACTCGGCTCGCCGCGCCCGGCTCCGCCGAGGCCCGAGCCGAGGCCGGCGCACGGGGCAGAGTCGAAGCGGATCGCAACAGCGGCGCCAGCCCGCGAGTCGAGATCGCACGGCTCGGCTTGTAGGGGGCCCTGCCCGCGCCCCCCCCCCCCGTTTTCATGTTTTTTTGTTTGTTCTCTCTCTCTCTCTCTCTGCTGCGGGGTGTGGCAGCCGGCAGTCGGCTGCCGAGATCTCCGTGCGGCCCGGCTCCCTCGTGCCGCGCCATGCGGCCGGCTCCGAAAAGAGCCCCAGGCCCAACGGCTCGACATCTCAGGGGGGGGGGATCCTCGGCCAGCCCCCGCCGGTGGAGCCGCCGTCGTTCTGTGGCTTCCGCCGCCACTCCACCGAGGAGAAGGGAGCAGGCTGCCGCGGTCGGGACTCGGCGCGTCGCGCGCGGCGGCCCCGACGGGGCGCTCTGCCCTGCAAGCGGCCCGCGTGTCGCGCCTCCTCGCAGGACGGGGCGACTGGAAGAGACTCGGGACCTTGACTGAAGGGGCCCCAGGACACACAAATAGATACACACAAATGAAAAGATTCCCCATATGTTCCCATATCTTCTGGGCTTCTGTCTTCCCCCCCCACTTCCCATAGTTTCCCATCTTTCCTGGGGGATCGAGGATGAATTGTGTCTGTGTGTTTTTCCTCTCCTGATTGACGCCTGGGGGCGGAGAGACGGACAGCGTGTCGCGCCGAGGCGTGGGTGGGCCAGAGCCAGCGGCGCGACACGCGGAGCCAAAGAGTTCCTGACCGTATGCCGTGTGCGCCTTGAGCGCGAGGCCCTCTCTGGAGCCCTCGGTGTGGAGGCGGGCGGGCGAGCTCACGGCCTTTCACGCGGGAACCCCCACCTGCCAAGGCGGCGCTCGCCAACAAGCCTCCTTGCTGCCTCCCTCCAATTCCTTCTTCCTCCTCCTCCTCCTCCTCCTCCTCCTCCTCCTCCTCCTCCTCTACTCCTCCTCCTTCTCCTCCTCCTCCTCCTCCCCCTCCTCCTCCTCCTCCTCCTCCTCCCCCTCCCCTCCTCCTCCTCCTCCTCCTCCTCCTCCTCCTCCTCCTCCTCCTCCTCCTCCTCCTCCTCCTCCTCCTCCTCCTCCTCCTCTTCCTCTACCTCCCGAGAGAGCACTCGGACGCGGGCGGAGAAAGCTGGAGCCATCGAACAGCTGACTGGCATCACCAAGTTTGGGCTCCTCTCGGGCACAAGGACCCTCCAGGTGGTTGCGAGACCCTCCTGGGAACTCCAGGGGGCATGCCGGGGAGACTGTCTGGGCCGATACACCCCGTAGCGATCCCGCCCCACGGGGTCGCGCTGATCCGAGTCAGCGCGAAGCTGGGTCAGCCAGGACCCTTTAGCGCGCCCCAGCTGGCCGCTGAGTAGCTCCCGAACCCGGGTGAGCCCATAGGACCGCGAGAACGGCCCCACGTGGCTCCCAGGCCCGGGTCAGCCAGAGTGGCTCGGCAGAACCCCCTCGCGAGCGCTGGCCGCAGTTGGGTGCGCTCCCCCGTGAGCGCTGACCGCGGCTGGCGTGTCGCGCTGGGTCGTTCTTGTTGTCCGAGGGCCCGGTCAGGGCCACGGATGCCGAAAATTGCCCGAGCCTCCGTCGCGAGTGCTCCGTCGCGCGAGCATGTTTGGGAAGGTCGCCCCCCCCCCGGCAGCCCTTCAGGTCGCGAAGTGCTCCTGGAACCCAACGATATTGGATAAGCAAAAACACATGCCCTTCGAGCCCGGGCCCGATGCGCGAAAACAAAACGGCCTCGGCCAGAAATGGTCTAAGAACATTTCCTGCAGACCCCAACATGCTCTTAGAACATTATCGGCGGTGGGCAAACCTCCCTTTCGTAGACCTCCCCTTAGTGAAAACGGCCTGGGACCGAAACCGACGGACCTGGACCCGCAAAAATGACGGCCGCGACGCCCTCTCGCGAACCGAAAACGGCCATTTCACTAATCGACGTGTCAGGGTAGGAGGTTTATCCACCTCCGACATGACTTCGTGGGCCTGTCGGCGAGCCGGGACGCTTCGCCACTGCTTTGCTCTGGAGGCGAAACGCGCCTCGCGGGCGCCCCTCGCGCAGCAGGGCGCTCAGCGCCGGCGCTCGGCCGCGTGCAGCAGCAGGGGTGCGCGGCGCGGGGCGGCGGCGCGCGGCGTGTCGGAGAACGGGTTGATCCTGGCGGCAGGGGCTCTAAGGGGGGGAACGAAAGGGGGGGGGGATAGCAAAGGATGGGGTAGAGAATCTCAGCTCACGTAGCTGACTTTCCCGGCGCCTCCCGGCGCCTGGAGGCGCCCATGTATCGAGGAATGGGCCGGCGGCGGGGCCGAACGGGTTGATCCTGGCGGCAGGGACTCTCGGGGGGGAACGAAAGGGGGGGATAGCAGAGGATCGGGTATAGAAGCAGCTCACGTAGCTGACTTTCCCGGCGCCTCCCGGCGCCGGGAGGCGCCCATGTATCGAGGAATGGGCCTGGCGGCGGGGCCGAACGGGTTGATCCTGGCGGCAGGGACTCTCGGGGGGAACGAAAGGGGGGGATAGCAAAGGATGGGGTAGAGAAGCAGCTCACGTGGCTGACTTTCCTGGCGCCTCCCGGCGCCGGGAGGCGCCCATGTATCGAGGGATGGGCCCGGCGGCGGGGCCGCAACCAGCCGCATGGAGCAGATGTCGTACCCCCCCCTTTCCCCTATCCCCCACTTTCGTTCGGCCCGAGACTCGGGGGGACGTCAGCTGACCTGCAGTCATCGTGGTGCCGTATGGAGTGCTGGCTAAGGAGGGAAGGGTTTCTTCTGGCCACGGCGAGCCTCGGCCACGAAGAGGCTTCCCGATCCAAATCTATGGAACGGCCCGGGAACAAGAGCCGCTTTGGCTTGTGTGGTGACTACGTTGGAGGCCTCCCAAATCTGGTCCGATTGGACGGGATGGGGGGATCGCGCCGCATCGCCGATGCATCAGCGATGTATCGGCGACGTAGTCGATGCATCGGCTCCATCGGCGCGGAGTTTTTCGCGATTCACATCAAGCCACATCGCCGATGCATCGGCGATGCGGCGCGATCCTCGGACCTTATCTGTTCGGATCCCATCTGGGAGGCCTGGACCTACGGCAGGTTCGTGTCGCTACGACTTGCGCGCTGATTTTCGATACCACGTAGATCGTTTACTCTTGAACGGTCGTGGCGTTCTGATAGCGTGAATCGTTAGATGTCGGCCGATTCCGCGCCTCTGTCAGCATTCAACCTTGAACGCCCGCACCAGGATCGCCGACGTGTCGCCACATGCCGCACCAAAGACGAAGGCAGGATGGAGACATTCGGACGAAACTGAAACTGACGGGCTTGGAGGCTGCATCGGCCGATGAGGCCAGTTCAGAGCGCTACTGATCGCTCTGGGAACGCTTCGGGGCGCTCTGAAAGTACTGCTGAACGCCTTGGAGCGCTTTATCAGCATCCTACACAGCCCTGGAGTACGAACGTAACTCTCGCGCGCGGTCCGTCTCCCCGTCGAGCTCAAGATGCGTTCACTTTTGTGGGCAAGTCCATCCGTAATTGGCCTGCCGAGCAAAAAAACAACCCAAATACAAAGCTTGGGGAAGGGTGGTCCATGGACCCTCCCCCCTCCCCTCCCCCGAGAGAAAGGCCAATCCCAACCACATCGGCCCGTTCACGAACCACTGGGACTGGATTACAACCACTGGAGCGGGACCTGAAAAGTGGTGAGATCATCCAGTGAACCTACAAGGAGGCCGCCAAATTACACCAAGAGACGCTCGACATGGAAACTTTTGGGAAACTCCCCTTAGGCTCTTGAGATCTCGGATGCTTCTGAGAAGCTTCCCAACAGCTTTTGCAACGCTTTTGGGAAGCTTACGAGAAGCTTCTGAAGAGCTTCGGGGGGGGGCCTCTGAGAAGCCTCTGTGAAGCCTCTGAGAAGCATCGGAGAAGCTTCTCGGACGCCTGTGAGGAGCCTCTCCAGAGCCTGTCCAAAGCCTTTCAACGCCTCTCCGAAGCCTCTGGGAATCCTCGGAGAAGCAACCGAGCAGCTCCTGAGAAGCCCTTGGGAAGCCGTAGAGAAGCTTCTCAAAAGTCTCCGGGCAGCTTCTGGTGAGCCTCTGAGAAGACTCCGAGCAACTTCTGATGAGCCTCTGGGACGCCTCCGAGATACGACTGCGAAGCCTCCGAGAAGCTGCTGAGAAGTCTCCTAGAAGCTTCTGACAAGCTTCTGATAAGCATATGGGAAGTCTCTGAGAAACCTCTGAGAAGCCGCTGACAAGTTCTAGGAAGCCGCCTCTGACGTCTCTGAGAAGCCTCTGAGAAGCCCATGCCAAGATGCTTTGGAAGCTTCTGGTAAGATTCTCGTCAGCTTCCGGGAATATTGTGCTTGTCGAGAATTGTTTGGGATTCATGGTTTCTCCATCCGAATCATTGCGTATTCTTCTTCGGGGGGGAGAGGAGGAGGAGGAGGAGGAGGAGAAGGAGGAGGAGAAGGAGCTCGAGGAGGAGGAAGACGACGACGACCACGAGGTGGAGGAAGCACACGCTGTAGGAGAAGGAGTATGGGTGGCACGAGGAGGTAGGAGGATGTAGGACGAGGTAGAAGGATGTAGGACGAGGTTGGGGGAGGAGGAGGAAGAGGAGGAGGAGGAGGAGAAGGAGGAGGAGGAGGAGGAGGAGGAAGAGGAGGAGGACAAGGATGATGATGATGATGATGATGATGAGGAGGAGGAGGAGGAGGAGGGGGATCGACGGCAGTGACAAGCATTCGCACCGCATCCAGTCTGCTGGCATGTGTGCCAGCTTCCTCGGAGGAGAATGCCCTACATCGGCATCGTGCATCGCGATGCAATACACGTAATTTGCAGAGGCTAATATCGCAACCACTTCGGCCCGATCATATCCGGTTGTGATCCGCCCCAAGAAGTCGACGATCGACCCGAAGTAGTTTCGATCGATCCCGATCGCGCCCCACCGATGTAGTTTCTATTGCACGTTGACCTCTCCGACCCACGCCCTCTGTCAGCCCAAATCGCATCTCTGCTGGCGTTGTGGTTCGAGGGCGTCCCTGAGTCCCGGCAAGGCTTCCGGGCCCCGCCGTTTTGCCAACCAACATGCTGTAGCAAGCTACCGCACTCTCAGCCCGCTCAGGGGCTAGCGATATCACGATATCAGATTGCGGACGGCGAGCTCAGATGATATTATTAATAATAATAATGATAATAAAAATAATAATAATAATAATAATAGTATCCAGATGATCTTTTCTCATTGATTGCGACTACGACGAGGCTGCCGCCGTCTCCAAGACAGTCAAATTGGTAGCAGAGCTGGTCTGGCTCCACGGATCGGCTCGCCATGACGAAAGAAGATGAGACCGCTCCCTCCTGGGACGGTGACGTAGCCGGTTTCGACCCTTACACCATAAAAGTAACGCTCTACGTGCGCGGGGCCCAGAAAGACGAGAAGGGTCTCTGCGGACCCCGCTTGATGTCTAAGCCCCAGGACCGCGTATGGCAGGGCGTCCAAAAATATGACAAGCTGGACACTCCAGACATGTGGATGCCACGACAATGGACACCCTAACAGTCCTATCATTGAATTGAACATATGTCTACACTGTCGGAACATGATCTAAGCATATGTTATTAAACATGTTTTTACATGTTAAAAACATGCTTAACACATGTGCTAGATATCTGGAATTTGTTGGGCAACATGTTTCCTCTCCATGGATCGTCCTCCACAACTCTAGACGACACCGCCGAGGATGCGACGACCAACTTACTCATCGGAGTGGCCAAGTTATTACAGTTCCTCAACAAGAAGAGCGGCATCCTGGAGGTAGAGGACGCCAGAAATTACAGGAGGACGTTCATGAAAGAAACCTACAGGGACCACCAGATCAGCCCGCGAGACTGCCTTACGCAGTACGCACTTCGAGGTGGAAGAGGACATGACGAAAGTGGCGATCAAACAGATCGACGGGAGCTTCGACAACAAGACGCCATTGTTCCCCGAACCTCCACAAGCGCGGTTCCTCCTCGAGAGCGCGGGCTTGGAAGATCATGAGCTCTCGCAAGTGCTGGCGTCGGTGCAGACCTTTGTGGGCCCCGGAAACGGCAGGGCCGTTTTTCCACCGTTTCCAAATTATCCCGGCAAAACAACCTAACAGCGATGTGTAGAAACATAGCTGGAAACATTGCCTGTGGTTTTCATGTAAGAGTGCTGTTGTAGAATTCTGGTGTTCTCGCAGTCGCATTCGGATTCGCAGTGGCAGTCGCAGTGGCAACATCAGCGGCAGTCGCAGTGGAACTGCCAGTAGTTGCAGTAGCAATAGCTACACTAGCAGCAGCAACAGCAGCAGCAGCAGCAGCAGTAATAGTAACAGTAGTAGTAGCAGTAAAAGTAGTAGTGATGGTAGTAGTGGTGACATTGCAGTAGTACTAGTAGTTGTAGTGTGTGGAGTGAACGAGTAAGAGTGATGGGAGCAGTGGTAATAGCAGTAAAAACACTGCTTTCGATAACGGTATCTCCAAATGAGATCTTTGTATAAATGCATTGAGGTGTATACAACACACTGCTATCAACGGATGTGATTCCAAACGAGACACTGCTATCAACGGGTGGAGCCTCAAACGACACACTTGCATCAATGAGTGTAGCTCCAAAACAAGCACTCCCATGAATGGATTTAGGGTGATGTCGTAGTAGTAGTAGTAGTAGTAGTAGTAGTAGTAGTAGTAGTAGTAGTAGTAGTAGTAGTAGTAGTAGTAGTAGTAGTAGTAGTGGTAGTAGTAGTAGTAGTAGTAGTAGTAGTAGTCGTAGTAGTAGTAGTAGTAGTAGTAGTAGTCGTAGTCGTAGTAGTAGTAGTAGTAGTAGTAGTAGTAGTAGTAGTAGTAGTAGTAGTAATAATAGTAGTAGTAGTAGTAGTATGGGCACGGACCCGTAAGACCTGAGTCTCCACCGGGGTGCTCGGCGAAGCCATTGATGATGATGATGTGATGATTGAGAAGGATGATGGGATGATGACCGCGCTACTTGGATTTGTTCTGTCCGTCTTTCTCGGCCTCCAACCAAATCTTGGAAGACATCTCGCAATGGTCGCGATGGTCCGAGAAACGTTTGGCCAACTTGTTTTCGGCCCGTTCTTGTTCGGACGTTCTTTTATTTCGCTTCGGTATCCGGCCGAACTGCTTCACGTGCTCGACGAGCGTTTGCAGAGGACCGCTCAATGCAGCACGCTGAGGAGCAGCGCTGTTCCCTGCCGCAGGCTGAGGAGCACTGCTGTTCAATGCAGCAGGGTCAGGAGCACCGCCGCCAGACCGAGAACTATCAGCATGTCCTGGCATTAAGGTGCGCAGTAGGCGCTGCGCAGTTCCTTTGAAAGGAAATCTTCGAAAGCAGGGCTGTAGCCAAGAAGGCTACGGGGACGATGATGATGATGATGAAGACGATGAGTCTTGGAAGTCTGGGAAGTGGAAGAGCACGAAGTGGCGTACAGTTGGCTCCGGGCATTCAAAATTTGGCCCAGGAATGGAGTTCTGGGAAGTCCAAGAGCACGAAGTGGCCTACGGTTGGCTCCGGGCATTCAAAATGTGGCCCGGGAATGGTGTTCTGGGAAGTCCAAGAGCACGAAGTGGCCTACAGTTGGCTCCTGGCATCCAAAATGTGGCCCGGGAGTGGAGTTCTGGGAAGTCGAAGAACACGAAGTGGCCTACAGTTGGCTCCTGGCATCCAAAATGTGGCCCGGGAGTGGAGTTCTGGGAAGTCGAAGAGCACGAAGTGGCCTACGGTTGGCTCCGGGAATTCAAAATGTGGCCCGGGAATGGTGTTCTGGGAAATCCAAGAGCACGAAGTGGCCTACAGTTGGCCCCGGGCATTCAGAATGTGGCCCAGGAGCGGAGTTCTGGGAGGTCGAAGAGCACGAAGTGTGTGACTGTTTGCGAAAAACGAATTCGAACCCAGCTCCCCGGATCCCCCCCGGATCCCCCTGTGGAGTCATCTGCTGCTCTCTTTTGACCCTACTAGAAACCTATCAGTCTTCGCTGTTAGGTAAAAAATGTCCATTGAAAATGGAAACGGCAAAAAACCGGCGACCGGAAACGGCAAAAAAACTGATTGGAACCGGAGCCAGAACCGGTCAAAAAACGGCGTCGGAACCAGCAAAAAAACGGCAAAACGGAACCGGTAAAAAAACTGCCGTGTCGTTTCCAGGGCCCACGAAGGCCACAGATGAAGATGACAGTGCTGCGCATATCCAGGACATCCACGGCCAGGCGGGAGAGGGCCCTGATCTACGCCATGAACTGCTCGAGAGTGCAGTTGACGCGGCAGCTCAGCAGGGCCAACGCTCGTTCAATCAAGCTCGTGAGCTCCTCCGTTGCAGCAAGTCGCACTGGCAAGAGCTCCGCTCTGGGCAAACGGCCTGGACGCGACGCTGCTCACGGCCGTCGCCATCCGAGCACAGCTAGCACTCGCCCAGCGTGTGTCAAAGGGTGGAACAAGGACTCAAGCATTCTGTGCCTGAGGTGCTGCGAGATCGGACACACCGCGCGAGACTGCAAATCACCAGCCAAGCTCCAGCATGGCCCGAAGTACAAGCATCCATCATCCTTGTCTCGCCGACCATTGCGGCCCATAGCGATCAGAATACGATACACTGCGGCCCTTAGACGGCCCACAGTGTCGAGCATACGATCTACTGTAACTCGGATGCGACCCACAGCGTCAAGAATACGAGCTACTGCAACCTGGATACGGTTCATATCATATCATCTCAGAGCACAATCTACTGCGAGACACCTACGGTCCACTGCGACACAGATACGGACAAGCGAATACAATAATACCTCGGCGCGACGTATGGCACGTTCTGGCCGAATACGAACAGCGTGTATTTATGGCTTCTCAGATGCGAGGCACCTTTGAGGGGATTCTGGACTCAGGAGCTACTTCGTCTATGATGGGTTTGGCTATGGCCAAGATCTGGCAGGCCACCATGTTCAGGATCCTGGGTAAAGGCCGTACGCGTTTGGTCCCTGGATCCTTCATCGAGCTCACGTTCGGGAACAGCCAGAAAGCCAAATGGATAAGTCACGCCTCAATCCCAGGAAACATTGACAGCCATGAATGCGATCTCCCTGTTTCGAGTGTCGATTTGGAGGCACCCCCTCTAACAGGCATGGATTTCCTGAGAAAGTTTGCTGTCACAGCAAATGCCGAGGAAGACGCGATCACATTCAATGCGTTTGGAGAGAGGACCTACTCGAAAGGTCCAGGTGCGGACATTTGCTCATAGATTTCGGTCCAGATGCAAAATGAAGGGAAGTAATTCCGAGCACCGCATACGCTTCCGGTGCAGATGCAGTCGCGACTTGGGCTCAAGACGGTGATATATCATTCTCAGCCAGCCTCGAGCCGATATTATCAACCTACATATTTAGACGCAACCATGGGGTGGGCCAAGTTCGTCTGGCTTCTCTCGACGGCGACAGGCCTCGAACTTACCGACTCAAGGGCTGACGGCGACGAGATGCGACTGCTGCGGAGTTCCAGGTCTTGCGACAGCGGGCTGCTGTACAGGAGGGCGAAGCCACCAGTGCCAAGAACGATTACCTCTCAGCCAGCCTCTCCTCATCAAGCCTCCGATGTACACCGAGAAGGAGGAGGTCGACGAGACGGGGCAGCTCTGCAGCATCAGATGCCAGTGTTGCGGAGGGTTTGGGAGACGCAGAGCGGGCTGCAGCTGTGTGGGCGGCAAGAGCCACCTCTGCCGACGGATCCCCGATCGGATGTCAACTTCTGGGCCGCGGTCTAATTTCGGACTTCCCCACAACCAAAGCGAAGGCCCGGACCCCGATGACGAGTCCCAGACCAGCGAGACCACCATCGAGGAGGACTTCGGACGCACCTTCACCACCGAAGACGGGATCACGACCGAAGTCATGACCGACAGCCAGGAAGTCACCACCGCTCAAGAACGAGGTTAAGGAGAAGACGGTGGAAATCGAGTCGGAGACCATCGATCTGGAGAAATTGATGGAGACGGGTATGCATTTTCCACACTGGAACCCCACCAAGGAGACTCTCTCTCTCTCTCTCTCTCTCTCGGAGCATCTCCTGACGGGGAGACCTGGGACATGCTCTAGGAGACCTTCAGCCTGGACAACTGGAACAATCTCACGACGCTCTTACTGGACAGGAACGGAAGGGAGCTTCGAAGGAGGACACTTCAAGCTGCAATCAGACTGCCCAGGTAGACCTCAAATGCCTCAGGGAGCTGAACCCTAAGTAACTCTACACACTCGTCGGCGGCACTAACAAGTACGAGCAGCCGGCAGCGTTCGAGGCAAAATAATTGCTCAGAGATGGGATGCTCGCGCGTGCTGGAGGTATGCGCGTCCAAGAGGTCGAAAGACTGTGGGGCAAGGTGATGCAACTCGGCAACACACAACCAAGACGATCTCACGTCAAACACGGGGTGCTGGAGAGCTTGCGAGACCCCGAAGTTGGAACGGCCACGCAGAGTGTTCTCGCCACCATGCACAGCACGGTCCATCACCCAGAACGCGCCAGAGCAGAGCGAGCGCTTGGAGGCCAGGCTGCGCAAGAATGACAAGGTGACCAAGGCACGCGTGCTGCTCGCCCACCAGGCCCTTCACGATGGAGCCGAGGTGGACTTCGAGCAAACTCTGAAGTGCGGTACCTGGCAGCTGCCATACCTCAAGTTACTCAGGAACCAGCTTCCCACATTGCGTGTGGACGGCTGCGCGCACCAGCTGCGTGATCCCAAGGCGAGTAACCTCGTCAGGAAGGAGTGGTTGATCGCGACCTCAGACCCAAACATGGTCACGACGCTCGGGAGAGTCTCCTCCAACAAACGAGCAGGACTACACAACCACTACCACGAGGTCATCCAGGGCAAGAACACCGAGTACACTGCATCGTACCCACCACTCATGTGCAAGAAGTTTGCTATAATCGTCCCGAGAAAACCAGAATGGTCCGTGGTGTGCCTGGGCAGGAGGAGACTACAACATGATGGAGAATGCGACGGCATACACCATCAAGAGAAGACTGGTGGGAACGCAACCACTACTAAAGTTCAGGAAAGCTGAAGCTAACGCGGAGGTAGACATCGACATCGACCCGGACGGCACGGCACTACGCGTGCCTGCCAACCGCCCTGGAGCCCGAGACCGCGCCGATGCGAGGCCGCGCTGCACAGTGGACACGTGCGATGAGGGATATTGTGACATGAAGCCTTGGGGTACCGATGTGCCTCAGAGCCCCGTGGGACGCCTCAGTCGATCTGTTGGATGCTTCTCGTGGAAGGTCGGGCTTCCTGAGGCGCCCCAGAGATCCTGTGGGCCTCCAGGGACTCTGGGATGCACGAGTTTTCACTGGGGCACCTACCTGCCAGCAGGCCAGTCTCTTGTTTGGTGCGCCTGCTGGAGATGCCGAGGGCCAGACCCCCTGCGATTGCGGAATGCTCCGTGCAAGCGGTGGAGAAGAGCCAGCCTGGGCACCGACTGTCCGAGACCAACATCAGAATCCTGCGTGCCCACGTGGACTTCCATCGTTTAAGGGCCTAACGACTTCTGCCGTCCCTCGACTCGCGCTGGCGCGCCCACGATTTGCTCCAAATTTCCTTGGAGATCCCTGAATCTACCTGGGTTTATCTGGGTTTACCTCGATTTATCTTCATTTCTACCTCCATTTACCCGGCTTGATCCCCACAAGCCGACTGCGTAACGTCGTCAAGCCCGTACGGGATTCCAAGGCACGGGCGCACGAGCGCACGAGGGGGCTCCTGAGAGGGGCAGGCAGAGAATCGGGCGCGCAATCGTCCTGTCGCTGAGATGGCGGGTCGCGGCGTCCAGGTCCACCAGAGGGTCTCTCCGGATCGCCTCTACGGCGCGGGATCGCGAAAGGGCAGGGCCGAAGGCGGCGTCCCACGAGGGAGGGGGGAGGGGAAGGAGAGCGGAGAAACGGTAGGAGGTGGAGGAAGAGGAGGAGGGGGAGCTATGGCGCTATGGCGGACGCGCGGTGCCCAGGTGCTAGCCTGGCCGCCCCACCACAATCACCGAGGGAAATCCATTCCCGACTTTGGCGGGAGTCCCCTCTGCAGTCGGCCCAGTGCCTCCAAACCCTTCTTGGTCGGAGGCCTGCACTCGCTTTTCAAATTGCGGGCACTTGTGACCGCAAAGCTTCCACACACAGTGCAGAACAAAACGCCATTCAACTCAGATAAGGAATGGGTCTCGTGGCAGTGGATGGCCATGGGATGCCCAGCGGGCCCAAAAGCCGCGGCCCCAGGGCCCTCAAAACCAGGCTCCTCACCCTCACGAGGCACGCGGTACTGGGCAAATCGCCCAGCGTTGCAGGGGCCAGGCCAAAAGACAGACAGTGGCCCCTTCTTGCAAAAACGTGCAGAACAGATACTACACTTGAACAGAGTCCTGAGCTCCACAGGCGAGTGGCCCTGTTCCTCGAGACGACCACGTCTGATCTGCGCACTGCTCGATCCAGCGCGCGTGCGCACGTGCTCATGCCCAACACGCGCGTGCTTAGTGCGCTCGCGCGGGTGCTGCACCACAACTTCACGCTGGATGGCAAGAAGCCCACGAATTATATCCCTATTCAACATATCCTGCTCAAAAGTGATGGCCGCCGTCTCCTGGGGGACAGCCGCTCGACGGGCCATCTCTCCAGCACATGCATCGGCAGCTCCATTCAGGAGCCGTTCGATCGACGTGAGACAGAGGGCGCTGACCTGGGGGCCTGTGGGGTGACTCTTGGTCCAGCGGAGGTAGATTTCCCCTTCTCGGACGTCGAGGACTTCCCAAAGGCGAACCCAGAGGTCCAGCATTTCAGAGTTGGCCAGCAAGGCCCGTGGACGTCGGAAAGCTCGCACAACAGGATAGTAGTCACTGAAAACCAAGACACGCCCATAAGTATACTGACACACATAAATCAACGCGAGAAGTTCAGCACGTGGGCTCAACTGTTCACCTCCCATGGTCCCCGCGATGCCCCCATCGATGTTGTCCAGGGTAGCACCTAATCTAACGCAGGCCCAACCACAACGCCTTAGTCTCTCATCCTTAGCGCGCTCCCCCCCCCCGATCCGTCGACTCCCCAAACGCCCCCTTGGCAGACAGGCAACTCCTCGAACGATCCCCAACCAATGGCGCTTTCAATCGCGATCGGAAGATGTCCAACCGTCCTATCTAGAGGCATAAGGCCCCGACACCAGAGGGCAGGGCAATCAACATCACGAGCAGCTTGCTCGCGGAGGTGAGCTGTACGCTCGACAACTGGATCTGGGATGGAATCGTTACTCCTGCAGTCCCAAAATCTGTGAAAGGGGGTCTCACAAACCTCCCCGCAGCGCGGGCATATACCATTAGAAACCGTATGGTATCCTTCCTCGTGCAACCTCTGGTCAGTCCAGAAGCCAGCAGAGCAAAGGTTCCAACGCAAAGACTGCCCCTCGTAATCAGAGTCTTTCCCCAATCGAGTGATCTCTTGTCTGAGGACCGTGAAATCAACTCCCGACGCGATTCCATACCCATGGTAGTGCTTGGCAGCCTGGCTCCAGACCAAGCCGCTGCACGTGGCCTTGACAGCACGTCGCAGAGTCACGGCAAAATCCAGGGCCTCAGTGTAGAGGTCGTTGCCAAAATTGTCACGCCAATGCACTGGATACAATGGGCACCAGCCCAGGTCAAGCAAGACAGCAACAGTAGCGGCGATCGGCCCACGGACCCGTTTCCAAACTTGGTTCCTGGGGATACTGACGTACTCCTGAAAACGAGCCTGCCAGACCTGGGAAACACGCAGCTTCTCCTTATCACAAAGGGATTTCCAAAGCGTCACAAAACCAGATAACTGTTCACGCCGCAGACGAAAAATTGGATCATTCTTCTCGGCCCCGAAAACGCTCAGGATGGTGGTAGAACAAGCTCCAGCATGCCAGTGGCCAGAGCAGACAGCGGCCTGCCCACGCGCACTCTGCACTTGGGCCCCAGAGAGGCCAGCAACATTGTGGCCCCAGGTGCCTACGGCAAGCACGCCTGGTTTGTAGAGCTTAGACGATTTCTTGACCAGTGTAGTCAAATAGCGCACTTTCTTGCCTCGAGCGGCGGCCTTCCGCCGCCTGGCACGAACGATGGCAGCAGTCCTCCTCCTTCCTGCCGCGGTGGCCGTACCCAAATCACGAGTAACATCTTCAACCCTGACTGAGAGGCCTGCTGCTTTCAAATCAGTAGCGACAAGAAGTGCAAGAGGCCGTCGGTTCGCGACAACCGCAGACTTATTAGATAAGACAAGCTCGGCTGCATTAACCAAATGACCTAGCTGAACTGCTGCGGCAACAATCTGCCGTCGGACCTGGTCTTCGGCTCCCTGGCACACCTGGGATATGTCGTCAACGTAAGACCTGGTAGACACACTAGGATTCCCAAAGAAATACCGATTATGCACATCATTCAATATCTGATATAAGTACACCTTGACCCAGGACATAGACTGCATACATCCAGGGGGGACGCCAATCCCAGCAGGTATGATCTGGGAGCAAAAGCCGCTACTCTCGAGCATCCTGGGGGCCACATGCACGAGGAGGCCCAGGTACAAGAGGTGCGGTGGGAACCTCAAAGCAGTGGCGAAACGAACAAGCCTAGCAGGGATAACAGTATCAAAGAATTTTTTGAGATCCCAGTGGATCGTAACACTGGAGACTTCCTGGAAGGCAGCCATCTCGTGAGACAGCTCTCGGCGAAGCGCAGCTTGAAGGGCGGAACTGCCCCTGATGGCGTCATCCCAAAAGTCAACATGGCCTTGACTCCAGGCCCCCAAGAAATCCCCGCGAACCTTACAGTAGATGCGGTAAAGGGTGGGACATTTGCAAACGGGGCGCTCATCAACCTTGCTTTTGGGAAGCAAGCAAATAATGCTGAGGAGAGTTTGGGCAGGCCACATCATATTGGCCTCACAATCATTCAAAAGCCCGACGAGAGCATCGGCGGCACCTAACTCCAAGTCCAGAAAATCCCGAGGTCTCCATCCGTCCACTCCAACCGCAGTGGTCTCAGAGAAGACCCTCGCAGCGAGATGGAGGTCTCTAGCGGTGATCTCCGGAAGTTCGGGCAACAAATCCAGCGCACACACACGCAGCTCGTCCAACGCCCCAGTCAACTGTCGAATCTGGATTGGGCTGGCAGTCCAAAATCCACCCCAGATTTTTTCACGGTGAGCCATCATCTCCTGCGGGAGCTGGAGAGTACCTTCAGGGGCAACAAAAAACTCTAACCCCTCCTGTTCTTCACGCCTAAGCCAGGCGTGGGCTTTGGCGGCACCTCGGGGCAGCGCTTTCAACAGCCAGTCATTAATCGCCTTAGCTGCTGACGCGCGGGCAACCTGCCAAGCCTTAGAGAGGACTGCCGTGCAACGATCTATCATGTCCTGACATCGGTCCAGATCTACCGATTTCAAATCACAAAGCTGAGCCTGCCACTGGTGGGCAACCTGGTCGGCAGGTAGACACTCGCAATACTGTGGGACTCGACGTCCAAGTGCTCCCAGCCGAGAAGAGATGGATCTTAGCATACAACCATAACCTTTCTTAAGAGCAACGCGCATCTCATACAACTTCTGGGAGACAGTGGACCAGTAAGTAAGCGTCGGCTGGGCAAAACACCCAGTCCGCTGAGCATGATCAGTAAGAGTAGCATGTCGGAAAACCACAAAGTTACCTCGTCCTCGATAAACCTCCATATCCTCATCATCCCCAACAACCACTGACATCATCATCCTCTCCTTCGTGCGAGACCATAAGAGATAAGACGAGGTCAGCTCGTGGGAAAGGTGGGCCTGGACATGAGGAAGCTGGGGCTGCAGTGCTGCTTGTGGTGGGGTCCACTCCGCCAGCTCAGCCTTAAAGTGGTATTCCCAAGGTAGCACAGGTCCTTCATACACAGGCAATACTTTTGGCCGCACACGCTTGGTCATCTCCTGTAGCAAGGCTGCATGCGGCAAGCGGACCTCCAGACAACAGTGAGTCTTGAAGGGAGAAGCCTGGTACTTGGACACGCGCAAGTATGGAGCCAGGGTATCACTGGCAATCACATAGTCAATCAAAGAACCACCGCCACTGCTACACGTGAAAGCGACACCTGCAGGAGGTAAAGCTTTCGCACGAGTCATCTTCAGAAAGCCACATACCTCCATGTGATCCAGGCCTATGTTGTAGTCCCCCATCAGAAACCAGGGAATAGTGAGCGTGTTCACGAACGCTGTGATTTCTTTCATCTTCAGGATGTTTTCCCCCGAGACCCCCAGGTCAGCTATCATATATACAACGCCGACGGCCATCACACAGGCTTGGGTTCGGAGTTCCAGAAACATCCAGCCATTACCAGCACCAACGTCCCGAATTTGGCCTGCATGGGCCAGGAAACGTTTGAAAAACAAGCCTTTGTGCACCGCCGCTCCTACACCACCATGGGCCCCGCCACCAGGGGAGGGCGTGGCAGGGAGAAAATGGGGGCGCCACCCAGCGGTGGCGACATCACGCTTAGCCGACTTCAAATCGGCGGGGAGCTGGCGGTGTTCGGCGAACATAAAGGCGTCAGCCTTGCCATACAACTGCGAAACGAACGATTTAGCCAGAGCACTCCAGCTGGTTATGTTACAAAAAAGCAGGCGCAGGCCAGACTCACTAAATCGGCGGCGGCATCTCCGCGACCGCAGCCTTGAAGAGCTCCTTGAACCCAGCACCAACTTCACGTTGCACACGTCGAATGCGCTTGGCAGCACGGGTGTGGGCCTTCTCGAACATGAGGCTCTCCATGCGGGTCTGGTCGGCGTCCGCCATTGCACCTTCCATCGAGCGCTTCTTGAGCGC